AACTCTCCATGGCTCACTCTCTGTGGCTCACTCTCCATGGCCAATTCTCCTTGGCCAACTCTCCATGGCCAACTCTCTATGGCAACCCACCATGGCCAACTCTACATGGCTAATTCTCCTTGGCCAACTCCCCTTGGCCAACTCTCCATGGTCAACTCATGGTCAACTGTCCATGGTCAACTCTCCTTGGCAAACTCTCCATGGCCAACTCAGCATGGCCAATTCTTGGCCAACTCTCTATGGCAACTCACCATGGCCAACTCACCATGGCCAACTCTTCATGGCTCACTCTCTGTGGCTCACTCTCCCTGGCCAATTCACCATGTCCTACTCTCCATGTCCTACTCTCCATTGCCAACTCTCCATGTCCTACTCTCCATGGCCAACTCTCTCCATGGCCAACTCTCTTCATGGCCAACTCCTCATGGCCAACTTCCCCATGGCAATTCACTTGTGCCCAATCTCTATGGCCAACTCACCTTAGCCAACTCAGCTTAGCCAACTCTCCACGTCCTACTCTCCATGGCCAACTCCCCAGGGTCAACTCCTCAATGGCCAGCTCCTCATGGCCAATTCACCATGAACTACTCTCCCTGGCCAACCCACCATGGCCAATTCTCCATGGCCAACTCTCCTTGGCCAACTCTCCATGCCCAACTCTTCCCCAGCAATTCCATGAGGCGGCTTACTTGGCCGACGACCGTCAGGACCTGCTACAGGCCATCAACGAGTTCCTGGACTGCAGCGTGGTGCTGCCCCCTTCGGAGGTGCAGGGCGAGGAGCTGCTGCGGAGCGTGGTGCACTTCCAGCGGGAGATGCTCCGCCGGCGGGATGAGCAGGAACGGCGGCTGACGGCCGGGACGGCCCTGGAGCCCAAGTCGCCGGAGGAGAAAGGTACGCGGTATGTCTCTGTGTTGGGTGTGTAAGAGCAAGTTCTCCTGCTCCGTTCCCTCCGTTGCGTCGGCAGAGCTAGATCTCTTCCGGGGAATGCCGAGTGCCGATTGCCGGGCTCTAGGGATGGAGCAGGCCTCCCCCTCCCAGATCCCCCCGTTTGCTCTCCCCCCCCCTCCCCCAGCGTTGCTGAAGCTGAAAGCGGGCGAGGAGGAAGACGAATCGGAGGCCGACCCGCTCCAACGCACCGGACGACCGTTTGGGGGACTCGTCCGGGATGTCCGTCGGCGTTATCCGAAGTATCTCAGCGATTTCCGAGACGCTCTGGACCCTCAGTGCCTGGCGGCTGTCATCTTCATCTACTTTGCCGCCCTCTCGCCCGCCATCACCTTTGGGGGCCTGCTGGGTGAGCCAGGGGGGGGAAACCGGAGCAATTGGGAGCCACAAGAGAGGCAGGGATGAACCGCAGCTCCCCTTCTCCGTCTTCTCCCAGGCGAGAAAACCGAGGGGCTCATTGGGGTCTCCGAGCTGATCATCTCCACGGCGCTTCAGGGGGTTGTCTTCTGCCTCCTGGGGGCTCAGCCCCTCCTGGTCATTGGCTTCTCGGGGCCCCTCCTGGTTTTCGAGGAAGCCTTCTTCACGGTGAGTTGGGACGCGGCCTGTCCAGAATGTCCGATTGGGCCAAAAAGAGGGACATCCGCTCGGGCTGCGGCCCCCCCCGTTGGACGTGTTCTTTCGATCGAAGGCCGGAGGTTCCGTGGTTCCCCTGCGGGACGAGGAGCGTCCCTCGGCGTTGATCCCAGCCCCGCCTCTCCCGATGCCACGGTGGCAGCCCCTCGGACCTCCAAGTCTTCTTCTCCCTGGGGTGGGATTCGGGCGGTTCACGGCCGTTTCGGGGCAAACACATCCGCTCGACGGGAGCCCCGTCGTCGATCCCGGATGAAACCCGTGCTCCTTTTTTTTTCGCCCCGTCGGCAGTTCTGCGCCTCGCACAGCCTGGAGTACCTGGTGGGCCGCGTCTGGATCGGCTTCTGGCTCATCCTGATCGTGCTGGCCATGGTGGCCTTCGAGGGCAGCTTCCTGGTGCGCTTCGTCTCGCGCTTCACCCAGGAAATCTTCGCGTTCCTCATCTCCCTCATCTTCATCTACGAGACCTTCTTCAAACTCATCAAGGTGAGTCGCCGCGGGGGGGGGGGAAAAAGGGGGGGAGGGTCCCACGGCGGAGACACAAGCTAGATCTCCAGAGCTGGAAGTCACCTAGTCCAAGCCAACCCCCGGGGATGCCTGAATCCCTTCGTTTCCTTCCTCCCGCGCAGATCTTCCAGGCGCACCCGTTGCACGGCTGCGGGAACGCCACCCTCGGCCTTCGGGGACTCGAGAACGGGACGATCGGCCGCGATGCTTCGGAAGTGACCGGCCAACCCAACACGGCCCTCCTCTCGCTGGTGTTGATGGCCGGCACCTTCTTCATCGCCTTCTTCTTGCGGAAGTTCAAGAACAGCCGCTTTTTCCCCGGCCGGGTGCGTGGCCTGTCCGGGGGGGGGGGGGGGGGGGGGGTTTCCGTGTGTGGCGGGGAGGTTCTGGGAGAAGAGAGAGTTGTCGGCCATCGGAAGAGGTGCTGCGGGGTCCCGACAACGCCCCTTCACCCCCCCACCCCGCACTCAGGAGGCTCCCGTAGCTGAGCAGATCTCTCCGGGCAGGTCCGGCGAGTGATTGGCGACTTTGGGGTGCCGATCGCCATCCTCCTCATGGTGCTGGTGGACTCCAGCATCCAGGACACTTACACTCAGGTAGGAGCGGGGTTGTTCCTGGACGCCCCGTAAAGGGAGGAGCCACCGTGTAGCCACTTCCCGTCTGGCTCGTCATCCCCTGATGAACCTCTGCTTGGTCCTTTAGTTTTGACTCAGTCGTTGTCCACCCCGCCCG